CCTCGAGCAACGACTTCTCACATAGAAGTTTCACTATTACGTGTGACCGCGTGATGTGGATCCCGTGATTGAAGGATGAACGGTGCTATATCCTGTCTAAGAGCGAGTTAATCACACTGCTGATCAGNTAGTACACACACGCACGAGATTTTTTGGTGGACTTTTTAGTGGAGCCTCCCATTACCCACTGATTAGCGAATCAATATGCAGTAGATACGAAAAAATGTACGGCCTGCCCGTTTATGAACTTTGTTCCGCCAGACTGACACCCAGTTTTTGAAGTATCCACGCAGATTTGGCTGAGTTTAAGTGTAGGTATTATAATCACTACCATGTTGTCCATGACAGAAAGAAGGTCAGTTCGTCTTGCTCTCGTCAACATTTTCGGGGTGAATTCGGTGATTTAGAAATACGAAATCAAGGATTTCTGTGTCCGATGAATGGAACACAATTTATGAAAGGGTGCTGAAAACTCCTTGCTGAAAGTCAGTCACCGGTTTTTGAGGATCATCAAGTAACCTACTTATTTGAAGACAATTTAGACGAGAGATGCGGTTGCCATCCGGGTTACTTTTCTGTCCCAACCACACCGACTTGCAAATGCATAGATAGCGGAAAGCACAGGTAATGTAGACTCAGAGGCCATGCCTATTTGGTGAGCAACAGGAATGCGCTGTTTTAAGAAACCCATGCAAGTGATTTGGGTTCCAGGAAAATATTTCGTTATCTTGTAATCTGTTTCATGTGAAACATAAAGAGTCAACCGTGCGACAAATTAAATTGAAGAATACCTTGAACGAGATTATAAGCTGGCAGTAATTCGGGTTTCTCGTTCACATTGATTTGTTCTTCATTCTAAGTTTGCCTCTGACCAAGTCGGTGGATTGAAGTTGACTTTTGTTTAAGTCTTCTGTCAACTGCCATGAGTTCACGGTGCAGTCGCATGTCCTTGTTGCTACGTTTTCTGACCCAGAAATTAACAAATCTGGCATGGTTTTGAAACTGTAAATGGTACGACTCCAGGGGAGTAAGCAAACTTGCCAATGCCATAGCAACCAAGCCACAGGGCCCATTTGGATTTGATTGCCATGAGTTCACGGTGCAGTCGCATGTCCTTGTTGCTACGTTTTCTGACCCAGAAATTAACAAATCTGGCATGGTTTTGAAACTGTAAATGGTACGACTCCAGGGGAGTAAGCAAACTTGCCAATGCCATAGCAACCAAGCCACAGACAGGGCCCAGATTTGATGGAGAGAGACAGATTCAAGGGGGGGTAACACAGGAATCGAACAGGACGGTGGCTTAACTATGAAAAAAAAACAGACGTTATAGCTGGAAATTTAAAAGTAGCAGGACCACCCCCTACTGGACGCTGGTGGGAAAACAAGCACTGAATAAGAAGGAAATCTGGATCCGGGCCACGGTTTTTTCACTGAGCTTCGCAGCTTGGGTGCAGAGGTTCAATTAGCTGCGGTCGCCACACAACACATCTCGGTTGGTGTTGAAACGTTTGCAATCAAACTGTCCAACTGAACAGACAAATCAGTGCCTATCGAAGTCCACCCCATTTTCTTGTCATTTTGATGGCATTTATGAATTTATTCGGTATTTTCTACTGTAGGTTGTCATTTTATGCCAAACAAAGCCGGGAGACACTGTTCATCTGGTTTGTCCGGATTAGTAGTAAAGCGATTCAGGGAATCTCCAGGATGTTTTGAATCTGACTGGTTTCCGATGATCACAAGCGACTAATCAATAGTCGTGATTAGCATGCACTTAAGGGATCATGGTGCAACTAATCTTTCGGTCACATCACTTGCTTGCCTGTCGGCTGACTGGTCAAATGGAAGGTTTACTCGTCATGGGCTACTTGTTCACATATCTTCGTGCTGTTGCCAGACTCTAACAAGTGGGCCACATTGAGTTTCACTCGGAACTGAGCTGTGCTATTGAGATGACCATTGTTTTTTTTAAATCAGGCACTCGTGACGAACTTTCTTCTCACACCGTGCAGACACCAGTACTGATTGGGGAACCGCAACAACACAAGCCCTGTTTCACCGTTACAGCAAAAATTATTGTTCCACAGTACACGTGTTGGCTTGCACGTGGTATTCTTTGTGAACATTGGTGTACAGATTTAAGAACTATCCAGAAATGCAAGCAAAGGAATGCAGTCCGAAATATCAATAAAGCATGTTGGCCATTTTTGGCCAGCCAGAACTGTTTTACAGTTGCGAAACTCATCAACACACAGAATGAGCTGGTGAGACGGTAACCATCAACAGCGCCATGCTTCATAGCCCGTCACGAAGAGACTTGACTTTATTGTGGTTCGACGATGTGCGTGCCCCGGTAACCGGAGCTGGAAAATGACCTTGCAGCATCTAAAAAGCCTCCCTTACCAGGATGATCAACCGACAGAGGTCTGAGAAACGCATAATCATGGCCTTCGGTGGTGGAGGTTGGAACAACTGTGGCAATTGCCCTTGGACTACTTAGTTAGTTTCAAGCCAGCCGCAGCTGCCTTACAGTCAAGCTTTTGATCAAAAGCTATTGGTTGAGTACCCTGCTCGTCTTACTGTCTGGGTTTGGGCGCCATGACATTATCTCAACCCACGTACAACTTTGCATATAAAAGTAACTTCATGTGAAGTCGGCCGTCGCATGGTTGCATAATCCGGGTGGCTTCACTTGTTGGATACGGTGGGGCTGATGGGCGAAATCGTGCGTCCGCTGATGCCATACCTTAATTCCAGACCTATCCCACTTGGCTGTCAGCCTCATATGGATTTTTAGCGGACTAGGACCTTATCAGCGTGTTCGGATAAATTAACAAGCAAAAGTAACCAATACAAAATCACAAAATCACAATGGGAAAGGAATGAGTAGTCAAATGGGGACTCAAGAATGTATAGGTCCAATAGTTCACTACACCGATCCAAATGCAGTAACTGGCTGTGAAAGGAAATATTCACTTGTCGAAATTTCCCACAGATAGTTCCACGTGAGTGATATATTCCACGGTAGGAAAATTATTCACGGCTAAAAAATGTCACAGGAGTTTATTGTGACGTTCAACAGTTGACACAAACACAGAGATTTAGTCCCACTGGTTCAGGCCATTTTTGGCCAGCCAGAACTGTTTTACAGTTGCGAAACTCATCAACACACAGAATGAGCTGGTGAGACGGTAACCATCAACAGCGCCATGCTTCATAGCCCGTCACGAAGAGACTTGACTTTATTGTGGTTCGACGATGTGCGTGCCCCGGTAACCGGAGCTGGAAAATGACCTTGCAGCATCTAAAAAGCCTCCCTTACCAGGATGATCAACCGACAGAGGTCTGAGAAACGCATAATCATGGCCTTCGGTGGTGGAGGTTGGAACAACTGTGGCAATTGCCCTTGGACTACTTAGTTAGTTTCAAGCCAGCCGCAGCTGCCTTACAGTCAAGCTTTTGATCAAAAGCTATTGGTTGAGTACCCTGCTCGTCTTACTGTCTGGGTTTGGGCGCCATGACATTATCTCAACCCACGTACAACTTTGCATATAAAAGTAACTTCATGTGAAGTCGGCCGTCGCATGGTTGCATAATCCGGGTGGCTTCACTTGTTGGATACGGTGGGGCTGATGGGCGAAATCGTGCGTCCGCTGATGCCATACCTTAATTCCAGACCTATCCCACTTGGCTGTCAGCCTCATATGGATTTTTAGCGGACTAGGACCTTATCAGCGTGTTCGGATAAATTAACAAGCAAAAGTAACCAATACAAAATCACAAAATCACAATGGGAAAGGAATGAGTAGTCAAATGGGGACTCAAGAATGTATAGGTCCAATAGTTCACTACACCGATCCAAATGCAGTAACTGGCTGTGAAAGGAATTATTCACTTGTCGGAATTTCCCACAGATGGTTCCGCGTGGGTGATATATTCCACGGTAGGAAAATTATTCACGGCTAATAAATGTCACAGGGATTTATTGTCACGTTCAACAGTTGACACAAACACAGCGATCTGGTCCCACTGGTTCAGCAGTCAACAAACAGTTCAATGGAGCGTAAATACACTCGTTCAGCAAGAAGCCAGCAGGTCGCACCGGAAAATTGTGTATTTGTAACATTAAAACAAACGTCCTGATACAATATGAACGACAGTTACAAAGTGCGGTTTAAGTTCAGGAAGAATGGTAAATGTGACAACGGAATACAGACACTACAGATTCTAGCTCTAACTAAATCAGTCAGGCACCTATGGGGATGACACTGCACGCAACCGGTCACATCTACCGCTCCGAGTCCGTTATTCGGGCCTTGTTCTTCTGTTTTTATTGCAGCCTCTTAGGCAGACCAGTCAACAAGTTGACCTTGCACTTGCTATATTACTTCGTCGCTTGGTGTCTGCTTAATCTGTGCAACTCAAATACAGTGTCCAAGTACAGTTGCTGAGTTTACGGTAGCTCTTCTATCTATAAGCAGCAGACTACGAACTTTGATGGATTCTGAAGCTGCAGCGGCGGGCCTTGTTTGGCAATCTTAGGCCTCAGTGCTCCAACGAGTACTTGTAACCATTTGACCCTGTGCTGTTTAAATTCCTAATTCGATTGAAGCGCCTATCGGTCAAAATACTGAACGTTCTTCGTTTGTTTTGTCGATTCATGCACCAAAGAACTACATTTCTGGAGTAATACACTAATTTGCAAATCAATTTGGTTTTCACGAGAGACTCAACTGAATCTCTCGTTTATGATGTTCTACAAGTAGAACATAAGGTTGACGGAGACTCGGGACTTCGCCCACCTGATGAGCTCAAAGAAGGGCAAAACCGGCCGTGAGTTGTCGAAGAGTTTTCAGCAACCTTGCGAGTAATTTCCTTTTTGAAAACTACAGTGTTGATTTATTAAAGGACAAATTCCATCGATAATTGGCCATTACAAAGGGTTTGGATGTAGGGGTAACAGCGGGAGATTTCAGTTCTCAGGCAGGACGCCTCACTTCTTTAGAAGTGCACCTTGCTGCATTGTTTAGTCTGAAAGCAAAGCGCAACGGTATACCGGGAACGTCTTTTGCAACTTTGTACTGACCACCAGTTGTTTTCAGCAACGCTGGCGTCTCACTCCCGATGAGCAGTTTTGGTGTTAAACTGACTAGAATGCCATCAATTTCGTGGTCCAGTCCATGATCGTCGATCGTTTTGGAATGCGCTGCCTGACTCATTGAATTTCCTCAACAATCCAAGAAAACGAACTTTCCAATCAGCGTTAGAAAAGTTAGAAAAGTGGACCACGAGTTGAGAAATCATATCAGAGCCTACTGTGCGGTGCAATTCAACTACCCTCCTCGGAAGGCATTGACCGTAACTAGTACGATGTAAGCAGGGGCTCTTCCTTACATCATTCAATTTGCTTGTGGTGTCTTAGAGTGCGTACAGAGAAGTCGTTGAATCTAAAAAACTGGAAGTCTAATACCACTTTTTGACGTGAGGAGCCCTACCCGGTTGGGAGTACAACTTGGGTGGATGACGAATCAAAGGTAGACGGTGTGGTCAGAGGGGGGTTGTGAGACCAGAAAGTGCAAACAAAACAAAATCTGAAGGGCCTCTCTTAAGTGTGTTAATCAAAAATTATATTGGAAGTCTGTTATATATCAAATACAAGCGTCCAGGTCACTGAACAGAATATTTTTACCGGCATTTTAGTTGGCTCTCTGCTGCTGCGCCTGTGTCGTTCAGTCTACTCGCTGATTTTGAGCCGTAGTCTGTGAATTCAAGTCCCTCCTCAGTTGATGAGGTACTAATATGCCTTGTTGTCTTCAAGAACCACCAGCTTGCTAGACCAGAAAAGCCCCTCACGTGGAAGAATCCTTGCGTTCTGCTTTGACTAGGTTGTTCGGAATTACTTTGGTACAAGAAAGTGCTCCAGCGAGTTCGGGCTAATGGATGATCGCAACCGTACTCAAAAAGTGCACATGGACAGACTATTTCATTCATAAGAGTATAGGTCTCACTCCTGTCGCATCTTGGCCCCTGGCTACCTTTATTTTGTGATGCCTATCTATCTTCGACACGCGAGACGCAATTCCGAGGAGATTAAGTGGGATTCCGACTCGGATGAGGGTGTTTTATGCGTATCTTCACTTTACTTTAGTTGCTTCAGCAGCGCCACTTGTACCGCCAACCAGCAATCGTCGCGATTTAGAAGAAACGTCGACTCCGTTGATAGATTAGTTCTGTCAAATATTATTGGCCAGAGAGTATGTTCCTGAGGTTTGTGAACATTCTTCTGCACTTCATCTGCTTACTTCTGGTAACTTTCGGGTGTAAAATGGTTGTATTGTGGGTGGCCGTCTATTAGTTACGCATGCACTAAGCCTGCCAGACTACGTGATAGGGAGAAGACAGAGAACACGGGACACGGCCGTATTGTCAGAACAAAACACACAGAGCTTCTGCGTAAATATATAGGATGACTAAATGGCCAAATATGGTCGTTTACTTGTTCTTTCTGTACTACCAAGGCCGGTGTTCCGGTCATGAACAATTTCAGCCCCACTCCACTGGTCTTATGTTGCTAAACCGAGTTTGGTCAGCTCGGCCAACGCATCTGCTATCCGAAACGTGTCGTACGGATGGTGACCTTGGGCATGCGTCATTCTCTGCACATGTCTGGGCGCGTCCTGACAAAAATGAACTAATTAGAAGTATCCCGACAACCAGTGGACTTGTTTCTCCCTTACATTTTCAGTTTTGTCGTTGACATTATCATGGAGTGCACAGCCCAAAAGACCGTGAATCCGGGTATCGAAATCATGGATGGGATAGTTTATTGGATTTTTATTAAGTATATGGACGACAAGGTTTTGTCGTTTGGTGATGATTTGCCCCCCATTACGTAGTTTAATCAGAATATCGCAGGGGTGCATGCATTTTACAACTTCAAGATTGCCCATCCGCCTGTGGTCCTCTGGGAATTCGGACCGACAGCTGCATAAACCATGTTTTTCCTGCAACAGATGAAGTTGAAACGCGGATAATCAGGACGCGAACTTGCGTCATTTATGGAGTCAGAACCGAATTTGCTAAAGCGAAACAGCCGTGTATATAAGGTAACTGTAGAAGCAGTCTTACTCTCTGATTTCGAGACTTGTTCGCTCCCATCCGAAGACTTTAGACGTCGTCAAAATGTTTGGTCACCTGGCACTCCGTAAACAAGAGTAAGCTGGGTGCGGCATTTACGTGACGACCACCGTAGGCGAGTACTTGGTAACAAGTCCGAATCCTTAGATCAGCAGACAAGTTTTTGTTGGTTGCAGCAGACCACCGAAGAAAGCTTTCTTTTCCGTTCCAGGCTAGTGTTGACGCAAGGTTATGGGGTAACAGGTCATAAGATGCAACGTGAGATTAAACCGGTTACAGTCAAACTGAATATTTTAGAATATTCGTGCCTTCCTGGGTGGGGCCCATGTGATAGGCGGTTAAAAATCCTGCAGAACACGGTACGCTGCCGATTCCGGTGGCGTCTATGCTGTCATTCTATTTGCGGACTGCCTAGCTAAATTTTGCCGGTCGTTGTGCATCGAGTTTAGGTCGGGCGAGATTCGCAAAGGGCACCGAATCTATCCAGCTGATGAAGCCTTACTTCGACGTGTCGCTCAGATGTGCCTATTTATTCGCAGTACTTCCATAGTCTTCCCTTCCTTTTCACTCATTACCATCCCCTTCCGGTTGTATGGTGGTTTGGAACCAGTGCATGTCATTGATGATAACGATGCTACTGCCGCTGATGCTGAATAAAACATTCGCGATTACCCCATGTCCAACAAAGCTTGCTGAGAATAAAGAGATGAGGACGCCAATGCGATCGACATTTAGATCAAAGTTGAGTTGACAAAGTTCCGGGAAGCAAATGAGCTAATTTGTACAAAACTTATATCTCTCAGCACGTTTGGACCACCGAGCACAGTGATTTTTTTCGGTCGGAAATAACGTCACAATGCATAGCCATTCTTTGGGACTTTGTGCAATCTAATAGAAGTAAGCAATTTGTTGCCATAAGTAATAGAAAAACGATTGGCTGAAATTCACCAAAAGCCTATAACCGCTTGAGACCTATCAGATAGGCGTCTTTCCGAAAACTCACGAACCGTATTGTAAACTTGGAGCAATCATACCATGGAGATTGTGTCAAAAATACAGACTCCACTGAATATCCTTGCAGCGAAACCTCGAGGCGATGTGCATGCCACTAATTTTATAAGGCATTTCGGAAACACATCGAAGCTTGCCCAATGCTTCGTACGTCAGTCAATGCACAAACTTTTAATGGCTTAGTTGGATGTACTGATGGATGAAACGCCCTCGAGTACTCGCCGGATAAACAGTATTCATGGGATACAACAATGTTTGATGCATTCTGACTTCAGGCGACAGGCTCTACTCATTTTCCCTTGGCAAAATACTTACTTCTTGTGAGTGCAACGAAAATCCAATAGGTGTATTATTTGGAGAATTTTGATAGCTCAGATAGTGTAGACGGTCGCTGATTGTTTGCTGAGCTAGGTAGGTTAATAGTAGAGTCCCTTGCAAAGGTGCGAAGGTGACCACACACTCTGCAGCTGACTGTATATTGGTTCAAAGTTGCCTGGGACTCTCCGAACTACTCGCCTTGAGGAAATTCGGTTCGGTTAGGCTCGCTGTTGACAAGAATGATCTCTTGAACCCAAACACAAGAACGATGATGCTGCCACAAATCATTTCATCAATTCATGTTGGAGCATGCAGGCTCAGGTTGCTCCGAACTGTTCAACTGCTTCATACGTTGAGCAGTGGTCACTGTACTCTTTTAGAATTGCCTTAGAGGTAAATTATGGGTAGGCGTTTGGCTAAAATTTCCCCACCCTGAAGTCTGGATGATTTTGATGCAGCTGGCTGCTGTCTCTCAAATGCTTACAATAAGTATGGAGAAGTGAGCAAAGAACACAGTTTCTCTTATCTGGAGAGACCGACATTAAGAAGGAGTAACTATCTGTCAGAAGCGACCTTTGAATGGTATTCCAGTCCTTAACCACTTGTAGAACGAGACTACCTATTTGTGGTCTTTTGAGGTGACCTCTCTAGGTGACAAGGCAGATGACGCAAAATCTGGTACTGAACACAACTATGGGACAAACAACTTGTCACAACCAAGGTCAGTAATCGAGGGTAAGAATCTTTCGGGTCACTACTGGGGTAAATATTTTATACAGCACCAAAGTGCCGGGTTTTTGAAGACCTCAACAAAACTATGTGAGGTGAAGATACATTTTCCAACAAACTGTTCAATATCTGCGATTAATTTTATGACGTTTTGTCAATACACTCCAACTAGTGTAACGGTGTATACTACTGATGGAACATGAAAGTAGTATGGTGGCCAAGCTCCGCCAACGCATCTGAGGGAAGGTGAAGTTTGTTGTGGAAATTATGCAACTGCTCCGCGGTGTTCATTATTGTTCGATATACAAGGAAATTCCGGGAAAGTTAAAGAAGACGCTTGAGAATAGTCACTTTGAAAAAATTCTGTGCGAATGAAATATTTTTTGTTGTGTCTGATGGCTTGTAATCGCCAAGTCCGTGTTTGCTAATACACATCTTTGTAGCAGGGAGGGGTGTTCCTTCTTTAACTAGTAATGACATTCTTTTTCTCTTCACCGAAAGTTTTTGTTGTTGCCTCAGATAAATATCTCTGTTACTGAATGAGCCAGTTAGATCGTCCTCACCTGATTGGTGGATTTTGACTGTTCACCACTTGTTTTCCAAATCGGATGCACGGGAATTCTCACGTACCTCAATACAGTTCTTTTTTCCATCGCAGATTCAGTTAGATCCCGAGTTAGACTCCAACCGAGTCCGCTGAAACGATGACCATAGAATGACCACTTAATATAGAACAAAAATCAAGATGGGAGGCCTAACCAAATTTGCATTTCTGATATCATGAATGACAAGTGGCAACTTGAGTTAGCAGGTCATCTCCGACATTTGACAGGTGGTAACAATAGAATTCTAGTTGTGGCGTGGGTACCGTTAGAGAGCTGAGTTAACCAGTTGCAGTTGAGAGACTGTGGTTGCACTGGTTTGTATATCATAATTTGCATCCAGACCTAGCCCACCCCCCTGATTTTCTGATTAGCAATCATTCCTGAGACAAAATTACGCACTCTATAGAGGTGGCTTTCAAGGAATCAGAAGATCCCGCATAAATATAGCAGAGGATGCTCCTCATGAGCGGCTGCCCCTCGGAGAATATTTGCAAGTCTAAGAAAAAACAACATATGTTTACACACAAAAGCCACAAAAACGGATGTACCCGTTACTGCGTGTGACTATAAATGATGAAATCACAGTGTTGCATGTGTACCGCGGCTTTCGCAAAGAGTCAGTACAACGTGTTGCCATTTCCGTGGAACTTTACTGCACCGTGAGATTCGTTTGGTAACACTCACCTAGCCGAGCACATTACGGCATGAATTTTAAACTGAAAAATGGAATGTATGTTTTTTGTTGTAGGTGGGATTCATGCTCACGTCCCTCACATTCGAACAGTCGTTCTCCTCTCCTGGCTCACTCAGTCCGATGAGTCCACACCAAAGGAGCCGGGACAGGAGAATGACTATGCAAACGAAAGTGCTTTGAGCATACATGTACGTGTTCTTTGCTAACTGACCGGAATACTGACCAGGTGAAGGAGGTGAACTAATTTGGAAGAATTCGGTGTACCCGTGCTTTGTATTGCTGCCGTCAAAACGAGTCATATCACTTTCCCTTGGACTAGAGTTCCGCCTCTGATATGCTTTTTTGCTTGTTGAGACACCAGTAAAGAGCACAAGAAGAGCATCTCAGCAGCGGAATACGTTCATTTGCATGCCAATTCGGTTTTGACGGGAGACTCATCTGAAGAAAAAAACATCATAAACGAGAGATTCAGCAGTGTTCCAGACGAGTCTCTCGTCAAAACCGAATAGGTAGGCAAATGAGTGTACTTCGCTAATTTGGTGCAATCTGGGTCCAAGTAGAACATAAGCTTGACGGAAACTCGGGGACTGCGCCTACCTAATGAGTCCCAAGAAGGGCAAAACTGGTTGTGGACTGACGAAGAGTTTTCAGCAACCTTGTGAGTAGTTTCCTTTATGAAAATATACTGCAGTATCTCGAATGTCGTGCCAACTGAAACATGAGGTGGCCTGTGTGCAGCACATTCAGTTGTAGGATGTCATAAACGAGAGATTCAGTTGAGTCTCTCGCGAAAACCAAATTGATTTGCAAATGAGTGTATTTCTCGACAACAGTCTAATTTGAGTTGACGGAAACTCCGAAACTGTGGCTACCTGATGAGCACCAAGAAGAGCGAAACTGGTCGTGGGCTGAGGAAGACGTTTCAGCAATCCTGTCAGTGGTGTATAACTCACGAGCAGTTATGAAGCTTTCATCTGCATCATTCTTCTGTGAGCAATTATATTCCCAAATTCGCACGTCAGTGTACCAACTGAGAGGCGTGGGTTTTTTTGGTGTTACCCGAGTTCACTGCTTCCCATTAGGTGTGAACTATTCAGGTGGGCCACGCCAGCACACAACAAGCTGAATAAGATCACAGTGACAGAGAAGCTGTGCTTCAAGTCTTCGCTAAGAGAACAGGTGTGAATCTTATCAAAACAGAGACCAGCAGCCCATTCAAGGTTTCCCACAGGGGAAACGAATAAAGTGTTCCAAATGCAAGTCCACAATCTCACACACAATCTGCACCCAGTTTTAGATCAAAATCTCCCCCCAAAAAATGATTGCCAATAGATCCCAATTGAGGTTTGCTACCTAGAAAAAATCTGGAGATTCCAGACCAAAATAGTCCCAGTATATACTCTTCCATTTGAGCGATGAAAGTTTTCTAACATGGGGCGTCGTTAATTTAACGCGCCCTCTGCTGGTGAATGGGCGTTACAATTGTTTCTTACTATCTTAAAATGCTAGGTTAGCAAGTTCACGAAAGTTCAACCGTGTTGAATGTCCCTTGTTGTAAATAAATCTTAGTCTTGTTAGATCCCCACCCACCCCATGCTTGACCGGAAAACGCCTGTTTTACACTCAGGAGTTCAACTGTTACACCAGCAACCTCAATGGTCAGGCAAATGAGGCCTGGTTAATCCGATTATCATCGTGGGTGATTTTCAGTTTTAACTGGATCGACCTCACTTTACACTACACTGTATTCAAACTGTCATTCACTTCGTAGTGTATTCACACTGTCATTCATCCGTGTCCCGCTGCAAACGGGGATTAGGATTAAATTTCCGAGCACATAAAAGACAAACTAGAAAGGTTCACATGCTGTCAAATGATTCAACCAACGACTCGTTTCCTTTGGTCCTTACTGTTGTGTGGCCTACTGAGCGCACCATGCATTGCTCTGTCGGGCGACTGGCAGTCTGAAATGGTCAGATTGCACAACGAGGCTCGGGACAAAATTCTCAGTTGCTCTGTGCCCGGGCAACCACCAGCCAAATCGATGCCACACCTGGTGAGTTTTTTCTATCAGGGAACCATTCACTTGTGCGTCTTTTTCTCAAAGGTATGGCATGATGGGTTGGCACAGAAGGCCCAACAACTAGCGGACCAGTGTAGAGTTGGTCACGACACAGCCGAGGAACGCAAGGTACCCGATTTTGACTACGTCGGACAAAACTGGGCTGGAGCCCAAGATATTGAGACGTGAGTTTATACTGTAGAACAACTTTTTAACACAAGCGACAGTATTGTCTACTGAAATCTATGCATAAGTAGCCTGGTGAGATAACAGGCACATACTGACACGATTTCTTGTGAACCTCGTCCTGTTCAATTAATCGGAGATGGTAAAACGAATAGACAGACTGTGTGCTACGTTTTGGCAGTAGTGTTCAGTAGTGTTCAAAGGGTCGGTTTCCAGTTGCACTGGTCTGTGACCTTAGCGTTCGTTTTAACGCTTTGGCTATAAAAACCAGGCTTTCGTCATCATGTCCTGTAAGAATCTCATATGATATTCCCAGCATGGTCACCAGAACTCAGCTTCAAGTGTTTTTTATCCAGTGTAAGAAAAAGACCTTTGATTTTTTGAAATTTAATCGGAAACGTAGTTTTCGTGTTCAGTAGTTCATCGCCGGGACAAGCCAAATATGACATCACAACGCTCGTACATAGAAAAGTTTCTGTAAGAGAAAATAGCCACTACTGGTTGCCAAAACCCACAGAATTTTTTCTAAAACTCGTGACGGAGACCAAATTCTTAGCAGCTTAATTTGGCCGGGTGGTGGATCCATGTTTTAGGGTTACGACCTGTCTGATGAAACCGATCGGAATTGTATTCGCGAATAACAATTATCCACGCTCACGGTCGTGGGCGATCGACGGATTTCAGCAGCCTTATGAGTAGTGCATTAAAAATATATACATGTGTCGCGATATCTTGAATATCGTAGCGACTGAAACATGAGGCGGCCTGGTGCAGCACATTCAGTTGCCTGAGAACATAATAAACGAGAGATTCAGCTGGGTCCCAAGTAGAACATGAGGTTGACGGGAACCCGGAGACTGCGCCCACCTGATGAGCCCCAAAAAGCGCGAAACCGGTCGTGGGCTGTCGACGGATTTCAGCAACCTTAGGATTATTGCAATACAAATATAAATCCCCGCTCACCTTTCCTACCAAGAATGCATAGTAACAGAGTGTCTCATGAAGATATTGAGTTGCTGATTAATATCTCGCATGATTTTTGCTTTTTTCGTGTTACTCGAGTGTTTTGAAAAGTGTGAATTTGTGAATTTACTTGTCGTAGTTTGGTAAATCTGAAGTCGGGTGATAGAACGTGGAATGATGTTTTTGCGTTCGGATGCTAATTGTCCAGCTCCATTTGATGAGCACTTTCTCCGACAGTCTTACGTGATGACTGACAAAGTGACTTTGATAGTTAAAATGTATACCACCGAACATGAGTGGGCTTTACTACTCACATGAACCGAAAGATTCACACAACCGGTAGCACCGTTACTACACGATTGACGGTTGCCAAATCACCTCAGGCCACCATTTTACAAGGCAAATTCTTTTCCTGTCAACTTCCGGATTAAAAGTTCTGGTTTATCGACAGAGAAGTTCCTGAGGTTTGTCCGTGTGTGTAAAAGTGAATAAGACATGCGAGACCAATTACTCCTGATAATGGTTGATTCTTCTACTACGCTGGGCTATTGGGGCTCATCATTAGTCCGGAAGACATTGTTATTGCGCTGTAATTGTGAATCATGTAGTTCCTGTATTTTTTTACCCGATACTCAAGCTAGGACAAGCTAAGCATTTGACAGGAAATACCGGTGTGCACGTAGATTTAGAACATTCAGGTAAACGGGAAGTAGTGAAGAGCACATCAAAATGAACGGTCTAATTCACAAGTACAGCTATGGGAGTGCCACTGGTCAGCTTCTTCATGATTTTACCCTCACCCAACTATTCATCGCGTTGGACATTGTGTTTCTTCCGGTGTTGAGTTGGTTGGCTTATGTTCAACCATTTTCAATTAACTCAAATTATTAGTGAACGGGGTTGCTTTTTAAAAAATTGCTCTAATCGCTTCATGAAAAAATATGACCATGGATAGGTTGAAAAATGAATTGGTACATGAGCATTCCCGGGAGCGTGTTAACCAATGGAAAAAGAGTTCATTAGGCGAGTGCGTAAATGGGCAGGTAGCCAAGTAGGTCGACATACAAATAGATAGATAGATAGATAGATAGATAGATAGATAGATAGATAGATAGATAGATAGATAGATAGATAGATAGATAGATAGATAGATAGATAGATAGATAGATAGATAGATAGATAGATAGATAGATAGATAGATAGATAGATAGATAGATAGATAGATAGATAGATAGATAGATAGATAGATAGATAGATAGATAGATAGATAGATAGATAGATAGATAGATAGATAGATAGATAGATAGATAGATAGATAGATAGATAGATAGATAGATAGATAGATAGATAGATAGATAGATTAGATTAGATTAGATAGATAGGTAGATTTAGATGGAAACTATCACAAGTGCGATATGAATTTAATTTACCCTAACGAGGTCCCTATTGTTTTTGTTTTGCCAATTCCAGTGCTGTCAGGATGTGGTTTGAAGAACACGTGAATTATGACTTCAGCACGGGAAATTGCAGACAAGGGATGTGCGGTCACTACACTCAAGTGAGTAAGGCTTCAAACTTCATTGTAGAAATAACCTGTTGAATACTTTCCATATTTTGGATGGCTTGAGGGTCATGCAGTGTACAGACCATTAAGAGCCTTTGGCCTTTTCACCTAGTAAAAAGTTAAAAGGTGTATAAATATATAGATTTAGAGGGTGACTATTCTGTCATTGAGTGTTTTGCTGTCTAGCCAATAGAGCAATAACTTAGAACTGTTTTGGTTGTCAGATTTTTCATTGGTTTCACACTGAGACCTATTCATTAAACTTCCGCCGATGCTACGGAAGTGTAAACAGTGGCGTTTGATGTATTTCGGAGATGAAACCGGGCTATTACGTAGCGGAAAACAGATTGGAATTTCCACCACTTAATGGTGAACGGAGACGACTGGTCCATGCTGATATCGGCGGATGCTTTTTGAGCATTCCAGCTGATAGCACGATGTCGGTTAGTGATTTGAAATGTCCTGTGAGATGGCAGTCAAAGAACTCCAAACGCTCCGTTTGGGACCGTATTATGATTGTGGCAGAACAATTCCCCAGCCATCTACCCTCAAATTTGGTGGAGGCTTCCAGGATCACTTCCGGGTAAAATTTGCGCAGGACAGCCAACTGAGTAAGCTCACCTAGATTGACCTAACGCCCCAAGGTAGTGTGAGCGGTTTGTACCGTAATTCCGTACGAACGTCTAAGCGTCAATTAGGCTTATATGTAATTGGCCGACTGGAATAGAACACCCCTCCTAATATTACATCTTTCATATGAATAGCTGTTTCTATGACCTCAGTGATGCAACAAAATGTTCATCAGTTCATTCCAAGTCCTAATTCAGTGGTTGTGACGACTGGCTGAAATAATTAAACAAAAAGAACTTGTGCACTACTCGAATTTTAGCCGTACATTCGCACCGAGTAGCCATTGCTGCTGGTGGGAGATCGACAGCGCATTGTTCTGGTTCGCGTTGTCTCCTATGAAGGAGTACGACTGAGTACGGTCGAATTCCCAAAGAATATGACCATTTTCTATAGAGGAGAATGTCGGTAGCTCAGGTAGCGTACGTAGATGGTCGTTGGCTTGTTCGCTGAGCTGGGCAATTTTGATTGTATCGATGCAATCGATGCAGATGTCTCTTTTTTTGCAGATGTCTCTTTCCCCCTTTTTTTTAAAAAAAACTATTGTTTTGTATCGGAAAGACAGAAGGAAAATTCACAGGATGACCGATGCTGCATGGTCCGATACATTGAACAATCGTGCCTATTTGGCGGTCGACTTGTTCGCTGAGCTTGGTAATTTGGTTGCACAAGTTGTGAAGCAGACCCGAGCTGCGCGTTGGTGGTTCTTCTCCAAACCGTCAGAACTTTGTCATTTCGCTTGGCAAGGAATCGTTGCAAACTAATTGCAAAGCTCAGCAAACAAATCCACGATCAGTCGTATTTAATCCACAGTAAACAAATCAACGTAAATGGCACTGACGATGAATTGGAAAAACGTTCTATATTCTGTTCTAGTCAACCTATTCATTGCATACCTCTTCTTCAACAGGTTGTCTGGGCATCGACCACTCATATCGGATGTGGTGTGCGAGATTGTCGGGATACGGGTTCGTTTCCTTACGGGCTGTCAATCGTCTGCAATTACGGCCCCGCGTACGTTGCACACAAATATTCATATGCTTACGGTCAATCATATTCACCCAGGGAATTGAGTAGTGTTCTTGTGCAGATAAGGCGAACACACCCGACGTCAATAGCCATGCAGTTGCGATAGTCATGCCCTCATCTGTCCCTATACTGTTTACATCATCAACCCGTCGGGACCAATTTCCGATTTTTTTTCTCGGTTTCCATTGATGCTGATAGGTAAACACCATCCCCGTCTCTAAACAGACGCGGCCAAATTTCACGATAGGTATCCTTATTTCTTGTATAGCAGAGCCCGCCACCCATCATCTCCATACTTCAGTACTCTGCGCTACTCATCAGCCAGCCGGTGACATCGATGTACACACATCGACGACCACAGTGCAAAGGAAACATGACAAATGTTCGGTTCGCAAGAAAGTCTGTTCTGAAGTCTCCGAACCATCCCCAGACAATGGGTATCTCAAATAGGTCTTCTTAGCAGGGATGATTGTACTTCGAAAGCGAAAAAATCAGCGGAAATAGCGTTGAGTGGTTGTTCAACTCTAGTTTAAGTGTGGGGTGGTGAACAGAACAGAAGGAGCTGTGCCCCATGTGTGTATGCAGTGGTGTGCATTTGACATAGAAGTTGGTGGTCGAATTCTTTTCTTTGCTCGATAATTTCGTGGCGCCATCAGTCAGTGTGTGTGTGAACCACAGTAAAGCTGCGTGTACCACTGCATACTGTACATAGTTGTCATGTTCTCAGAACAGACGGCAGGTGCTCATTTGTTCCATAACTTGGGTCGCATGCACGTACGTAGAATGAAATGACCAGACTTTGAACCATCTGAAGATGCAATCTCCCACCAGCCGTACCGTCGGGTTCTGAACGAATCTTCAGCAAGAATCAGTGTCCCAGTTTTTGATGTCCTCCACATGTGTATTGCGCATGTCTGACATAATCTGAGTGGTTTTCTGCCTCTATTAATTCAAAATAACCGGAAGCATTGAATCGCTCTGAGTCGTGACTACTTATGAGAATCCATGAGGCTGTGGCCAGCTGAAATATAATAGACCACGTGATGATAATGTGCTTCCCTCGGACCCTTCTCGGATCTGATCTTTCAGTACAAAGGAGGGTGAGTTGTGTGCTCGTTTCGCCGTCGATAAGCCACTTTTTCACAGACAGGATACATTTGCATGGTTGTAACTTTGGGGTCGGCTGTGAAGTAGCACTTTCTTCTACTCCGTCCCAATTGTTCTGATGAGTCCGCACCAAGAAAGGGAGGGATTCCAGCTTCGCCCTAAGCAGAGTTCACTAAAAGGGCATATAGTTGGTTATACCGGAATTTGAACCCCAGACGTCCCGGGTATGAGGGGAGAGCATGTTATCAGTGTTCAACCAGCGCAGTCTAGACTCTTCTGAATTATCGTGGCTGAACCGTTGGACATATTCACGCTCAAGTAACTGGAGCAAAGCTTAGGTAACACACACGGTTCACGCGTCACACGTTCGGGGTTGACTTCCCACCATAGCCGAGAATATGCACTGTTACTGAGCTCTAGCAGGAGTGAAACTCGAATCCGCTGGGTCAACTTTTTGACATGGACTTACACTCACCAGAGTGACCATTACAGAACAGGTACCAGATTGGTTTGGATGTGATTACTGGCAGTCACGCAACCACCTAAAAACTAGTATTTTCTCCTTTGGTAACTGAGTTACTTGGACAGTGAGTGACAATTCTCCAAGGTTCCGTTTGAGCGCATTGCACATCATTCCATTTCACTATCAGGTAAGTCATTAGGTCAAAACTTGTCAAAATTATCTACACAAATTGCCCCTGATCAAGAGGCAAATGGGAGACCATTGCAATTGTGACTTGTCTACGCAGATTGATTTCTACAGTTAAAATTTATTTCTATGACTGAAGCTAGCCAATACTGAATACCCGGGAAGCACACAACTAATTCAACCTGATTTGGAACCATCAGAAATTTTGAACCAGCGACCTCCGGGCTGGTAGTTTGAACGCTTGGCGATTAGGTCACGGGAGGGCGGTCGCAGGGTGCTT